ATCCCCTGTCATGTCTGAGACTAAGTTAACATGAAAGTCTGAGCTTCTTAGTGATGCCAAAGGCCATCATCAGTGGGCATTAGCAAGAAGCTGCTTTGAACGTGCAGCTAAGACATGACCATATGGGATGCCAGTATTTGAGGTGACTCTACCTGCTGGATCACAGGACCCACGCCTCCATTAAGGTTGTTTTGCTTTTTTATTTTTCAAGATTTATTTATTTTTATTGGATAGTCAAATATAGAGACAAGACAGAAAGATCTTCCGTCTGCTGAGTCACTCCCCAAGCAGCTGCAACAGCCGGAGCTGAGCCGATCCAGAGTCAGGAGCCAGGATCTTCTTCCTGTTCGTCTCCATCCCCGACAGGTGCAGGGTCCCAAGGCTTTGGGCTGTCCTGGACCGCTTTCCCAGGCCACAGGCAGGGAGCTGAATGGGAAGTGGAGCTGCTGGGATTAGAACTGGTGCCCATAAGGGATCCCGGTGTCTTCAGAGTGAGGACTTTAGCCACTTGGCTACCGTGCTGGCCCTCCGGGAAGTTTTTGTGCATTAGATTTATTGTGTTGGTTTCTATTTGAAACTGCTGAATCATATTGGGCTGACTTATTTATTTATGTATTTACTTAAAAGGTAGCATCAGAGAAACATAGATACAGAGTTCAGTCACCCACTCCCCAAATGACCACTGTCCATGGCTGGGTTAGGCCAGACTAAAGCCAAAGCCAGGAGCTCCGTCTTGGTCTCCTATAGGAGTGTAGGACACAAGTACTAGGGCCATTTTCTGCTTTATTCTCAGGCCTGAAGGCAGGCTGAGAAGTAAACCAACTGGGACTCAAACCAGTGCCAAATGCATGCTGGAATTGCAGATGGAAGAATGAACTACTACTCCACAGTATGGGCTTGGTAAATGAAAGATTGGATGGTTGGGAAGCAAGTGAGCGACAGAGATATGGAAAGAGAAAGCCACCCAGTGATGCACAAAGGCCAGGAACAAAGAACTTCATTCAGACCTCCCTCCCGGTGGCGGGGGTGGGGTGAGCACTTCCTTCCCAGGTGCATTAGCTGGGTGGGAGGTGAACCAGCATTCCACTCGGGAATGACAGATTGCAAGCTGCAGCTTAACCCAGCTGGACCTCACATTTTATACTTTTAAAAGATGTCTGTTTGACAATACTAGGATAACTTAATGCTATCTGATAATCTGTGTGTAAACCACAGGCAAGTTATTTTTTCTCAATGTACTGAACACATAAAACTTTTCAGACACTCAGATTAAAAGAAAAAAAACCAACAACACTGAACTCATTAAGACAGGGAATACTTTATTCAGAATCCATCAGAGAAATTCACTGCTCAGGTCTGTGGTGATTCATTCATGTTTTAAAGCAAAAGTCAGTAATTATATGAGCATACACTGCTACAGACAGATTAACTGATCAGACCCCTCATTTTCAATGTTTAAGACAGAAAAAGCTTCCCTGTAAAAGCAGCACCTTTGTGACATTTTTTAGTATTCCTCTCCTTCCTCCTCACCCTCTCCTTCCACAGAATCCACACCCACCTCCTCATAATCCTTCTCCAGGGCAGCCATGTCCTCACGAGCCTCTGAAAACTCTCCCTCCTCCATGCCCTCACCCACGTACCAGTGAACAAAGGCACGCTTGGCATACATCAGGTCAAACTTGTGGTCCAGGCGAGCCCACGCCTCGGCAATGGCCGTGGTGTTGCTCAGCATACACACGGCTCGCTGGACCTTGGCCAGGTCTCCACCAGGCACCACAGTGGGAGGCTGGTAGTTAATGCCAACCTTAAAGCCAGTGGGGCACCAATCCACAAACTGGATGGTACGCTTGGTCTTGATGGTGGCAATGGCAGCATTAACATCTTTGGGGACCACGTCACCACGGTACAGCAGGCAGCAAGCCATGTACTTCCCGTGGCGAGGGTCACATTTCACCATCTGGTTGGCCGGCTCAAAGCACGCATTGGTGATCTCTGCTACAGAAAGCTGTTCATGGTAGGCTTTCTCAGCAGAGATGACAGGGGCGTAAGTGGCCAGAGGGAAGTGGATGCGGGGATAGGGCACCAGGTTGGTCTGGAACTCTGTCAGGTCAACATTCAGGGCTCCGTCAAACCGCAGGGAGGCTGTGATGGAGGACACAATTTGACCTATCAACCTATTCAGGTTAGTGTAGGTGGGGCGCTCGATGTCAAGGTTTCTACGACAGATGTCATAGATGGCCTCGTTGTCCACCATGAAGGCACAGTCCGAGTGCTCCAGGGTGGTGTGGGTGGTGAGGATGGAGTTGTAGGGCTCCACCACAGCTGTGGAGACCTGGGGGGCCGGGTAGATGGAGAACTCCAGCTTGGACTTCTTGCCATAGTCGACAGAGAGGCGCTCCATCAGCAGGGAGGTGAACCCAGAGCCGGTCCCCCCACCAAAGCTGTGGAAAACCAGGAAGCCCTGCAGCCCCGTGCACTGGTCAGCCTGTTAGGAGACAGGAATGAAGAAAACACGAAGCTTTCGTTTGTTGTTTGTGATACCATCATAGTAAGCAGTTTCTTCCTACATCTCAAGGATTCAGATTTATTTTAAAAATGCTTTTTAGAAAGGGTATATCTTGGAATTACTCAACACTTCTTAATTTAAACATCCTCAATTTTCATAAGATGGTACCAGACAATTCACATTTTAACTGAATTTTTAAAGAATCTTAAAAGTCATCTAACTCTTTACTTCAGTTCAAATGTTTCTGTTAACCCCTCAATGTGCTTTCTTATGGGGAGTAATCATACCAGCTTGCGGATGCGGTCCAGGACCAGGTCGATGATCTCCTTGCCAATGGTGTAGTGCCCGCGGGCATAGTTATTGGCGGCATCTTCCTTGCCCGTGATGAGCTGCTCGGGGTGGAAGAGCTGGCGGTAGGTGCCAGTGCGAACTTCATCTGCAGAGGGGAAGCAGATGGGCCACCTGTCACGGACCCCGCCCCTCCCTGTGGCACCAGGGGCTCCCCCAGCACACACCTCCTGGCCAACCCCCCACACCCACTGGCAGCTCACCAATGACCGTGGGCTCCAGGTCTACAAACACGGCCCTGGGCACGTGCTTGCCAGCGCCTGTCTCGCTGAAGAAGGTGTTGAAGGAGTCGTCTCCTCCCCCAATGGTCTTGTCACTTGGCATCTGGCCATCGGGCTGGATGCCGTGTTCCAGGCAGTAGAGCTCCCAGCAGGCATTGCCGATCTGCACACCAGCCTGGCCCACGTGGATGGAGATGCACTCACGCTGTGGGAGGGAGAGAGAAAAAAATTATACAAAATTGCCTCATTAGGATTTTAAATTTTCTTCAAATTTCTAAAAAATATTTCCAATCGTAATACTGTGTTATTCAAATTTGTTTGAAGCCAGAATCTTAACATAGCAGAAATGATTAAGAAAAAGTATGCTACAAATACTGCGGATGGGTGTGGTCTGCGGAACAATGTCCTTTGCACGTGGTATCAGCCCATTGTTCACAGAACCATGCTTTCCTGGAAGGTTTCCCGTGCATTTAGAGCAAGCACAGCTTTTGTAAAAATGCAGTAAAACAAATCCAGTCGTTAATTGGGTATTTTACTGCTTTCCCCCACACATTCCCTTAATTGGAGAAGTGAGTTTCCTCTTAACTAGGGATCAGTCGGCCTCAAGGACTTTCGCACTGCAGCTGTGCTGGCGGCCACACCCTTCCGCAGTGTGTCTGCGGGGGTCCATCAATACCAGAAGCTATTAGGGCTCCCTGAATTGCTGCACTGCTGTGCCGGCGGTGCCAGGCGCTCGCCTCTTCTCTCTGCTACATTATTTAACAGAGCAAGCTCTATTTCCAGCGACTGCCTATATGATCTCATTGTGCTGTTTTGCCCGCACTTCCCCTGACTCTGCCTGGGACCCTGTTCTCAATTAAAAGGAATTAATGAAGGCGCACTAGAACAAAGACAGCTGGGTGCACAATGTCTTGCTGCTCTGTCGGCTGCAAATTCGTTAACTTTAAGCTTTTGCAGAATCGTCTGTAGAAAACAAAACCTGAAAAATTATTAGTATCTTCTAGAACAACCGTTGACAAGAAAGAAATGTCACTTGAGTAGCTACAAAGAATAAAAACCCAAAGAACGGGATAATGAAATGTGTTATTTAAGACAACAAAGCAGTGTTTTCATTCTGGTATTCTCTACCCACCGCAAAAAAAAATTCCTACTCCTCCTCATCCAATACAGAATTTCACTGGAGGGCTGCTCCCAGGGCGGGGTGGGGCGCGGAAGGGCGTTCCCGCCCCGCGGGGCGCCCAGGGCGCACAATGCGGGCTCCCCCTAGCAGGGCGCCGCGCTGCAGCCCTCGGGGCGTGGCGTCTCGGAACCAGGCTTTTAAAGGGCTCTGGAATCCTGACTTTACTCCTCAAGGGAAAAAAAAAGGCATTTCGTCTAGTTCCGCAATGACGAAAGGCTTTCATTAAACACTTCCCCAGATGGCGGAGACCAAGGGGGTGGGGAGGAGGCTCGAGGCCCGGCCGGCGTTCCTCCTCCCGAGAGGCGAGGCGCCCTCTGCGCCGCCAGCTGCAGGGTTAATACAGGGTCTCCCTCTGCCTCGCCACGGAACCCCACGGGCGACGCCCCCCATGGCCTCTCCCTGCTGCTGACCCTCCCACCCCGACCGAGGGGTCGCTCGCCAACAAAAACTCCCCGGAGCCGCCCCGTGCGTCCCCGGCGCGCCGCCCCGCGCCCTGGAGGCGGTTTCGGCCCGGCTTGTGGCCGCGCCCTTCGGCTGAGGCTGCGGGCCGACACAAAAGGAGAGGCGCCTGGACACAAAAGGAGAGGAGCCTCGGCTTCCCGAGGAGCCGCCGCTTACCATGGTTGCTGCTACACGCGGTGTGTCTGCGGGCGGAGGAGCGGAGGGAGGCAGCTGCTTCTTACAGCGCGACTCTAAGGCGGTCGATGTAAGAGAACCTGCGGTGCGGGCGGCGGCAGCTGCCTATATACAGCCCAGTCGCCATGGGGATGGGCCGGGGCCTGTTCCGGTTGGTCCAGACCCCTCCATCTGCCCCCGGGGAACCATGAAGCGAGGGCGCCGATTGGTGCAGGCGACATGGGATGAGGTTAATGGGTCCCGCCCCGCCCCCGCCCGCCCAGTATCCATAGACTTTATGCATCCTTCAAACAAAGAGAGCGAGCCGAAGCCGGCAGCCCCAGCATCCATTATGGGGTGGGGCTCGGGAGGGGCGGGCCGGGAAGAAAAAGGACCGGGTTAGATGCTTTGGGTTTTGCTTAATCCTCAACCGGTGCCCGGTTTGCGTCGCAGAATTTGGGTGGAGATGAGCTCTAAGTGAAAAATCGTCCCCTCACAGGCTTTCCCGCACATTACCCTAACACTGCATTCCGTTAGAACGCTATATGTCGAATTGTTCTAAAATTAGAGAACCTTGGTAGTGATGCTCAGAGGGGTTTGAGTAACCGGATCGCTCCCTCTTTTTATATGTAAATAATTTTAAAGGGGTTCAGTAATATAATCATTCATTTAAGAAGTCTTTTTTCGGCTTCAAGAAATTTATTTTCACATGCCCAAATAGCTTAAGATCAGCAACAGAAACAGATAATGGGAAGAATAGCCATCCGGCATAAAAAGAATACGAGTAGCGTAATCTCCTAGTCCGGATCCGCTAAGGACCGGTAGCAGTTTAGGCTTGGGATGGTCTTTTACCAGAAGTCCACGTCATGTGCTCTGTGAGCTGTAGAAAGGAACCATCTTTCCCACTACAGAATTGGGACAATACTGGGAGAAAGGGTTGAGTTCAGAAGCTGATACTGCTCGTGCGTGCAGTGTTGTTTCTGCAAGTATCCACCTTTCTGGAAAGTCACGAGAGGAAAAAACAACCACGGCGTTCAGCTGAGAAGGTGGCTGGGAGCTTCTGGAGGCAAAGACCCATTCTGTAATGTAGATTCCTCAGCTGCCTTTCAGTTGGATGTAGTTCCCCTGTGAATCCGGTAAATGTATTCTCTGTAGTGGGGCTTCTGACTGTGGGAACCGTGGCTGGTCCCACATTGCTGCTATTCAGTCAGAGATTCAGATGCCCCTGGGGACAAAACAAGGCTTTGCTTTTCCCCACTAGGAACTGGGATTGCTGCTGGAAAAGACTCCATCACCGCCAAGCATGGGCTGGGCAGAGCAGGTCTCTGGGCTGGGCACGTCCTGACATTGTGGATGAAATTTCAGAGGTAAAGAGATTTTGTTCGACTATCAAAAGCAGAAACTTGTATTTTAACTGCACATTTTTTCCTTGCAGTTTTCAGCAGCTGGCTTCCAGCATCCGCAGTGTGCCGCAGTACCCTGCAGAGCCCATCCATCGTGTTCCCTGAGGATGGGCAGGCAGAGCAGGGCGTGGGCTGCAGGGCGTGGGCTGCAGGGCCTGCAGTAACAATGGCGGACGGACACTCGCTTCTCTTAGGCAGATTTGCCGCAGCAATCTCTAGAAGAAATGAAATGCCACACACAAGCCACTGTGTCCACGCTTTGCATGTTTCACGGGGAACTGGCCAACATCACCTCAGCCCACAGCAGTGTATTTCAGTAAAGACAGGAGTACTGAGGATGATTTGAGCACTTGTTTCTGAACCCACAAGTACATTTAACAGATAAAAAGCGAGTGGCCCAGGGAGAAACGTGTCTTAGTGTCGGTGATAAAGAAAGTCAGACACTGCAGGACTGAACGCAGGAATAAGGAATTGTCCTGAATTACCTTCACAATGCAAAAGGTGAATTAAGCAAGTTTTTACTGTCCCAGTCGTCTAAATGTTTTTTGCATTTTGCAAAGAGAATTCAGTAAAGGAGAGAAGGACTGGTGGTATTGAATCGTTGTAGCTCTGTCTTAAAGCTATTCTGTTCTTTATCTACATGAAGGTTCTTCCTCTTCCCATTAGGCAAAAGTAACAGTAAGATCTGGGTCAGCAATAGCCTATCCGAGCAACGATAATCTGAGATATATAAATGGGAGATTGGAGGGGATGACCACTGTGTTCTTTTTGTTTCTTCATTATCTAATAGCATTCAAACTATGAAAACCAAAAACAAACAAAAAATACTTTCTTACTAATTCATTCCTGTTGTTACTGCCAATTTTTTCTTTAAGATTTATTTCTTTGGACCTGGCAAAGTAACCTAGTGGCAAAAGTCCTCGCCTTGCACACACCAGGATCCCGTATGGACTCCGGTTATTATCTTGGCAGCCCTGCTTCCATCCAGCTCCCTGCTTGTGGCCTGGGAAAGCAGTCAAGGACTGTCCGAAGCTTTGGGACCCTGCACCCACGTGGGAAACCCAGAGGAGGCTCCAGACTCCTGGCTTCGGACGGGCTTAGCTCCGGCCATCGCAGCCACTTGGGTACTGAGTCAATGGACAGATGATCTTCCTCTCTGTCTCTCCCCCTGTATGTATATCTGACTTTCCAATAAAAAAATAAATCTAAAACAAAAATGTATTTCTTTGAAAGGCAGAGTTACAAATAGAGAGCAAACTGTAATCCACTTGCTGGTCCCCAAATGGCCACAATGGGCAGAGCTCAGCCGGGAGCGAGGAACCAGGGACTTCATCTAGAGTTCCGTAAGGGGGCAGAGGCCGGAGTGCTTGGGTCTTTGCGGCTTCCCCAGGCCTGTCATTTCAATAGCAAGTAATCCAAATCGACAGGCGTCTCGATAGTCAGTAGAGCAGTGGGGCTCGACTCCCCACCCATACAGGATGCTGTATCACAGGCAACGGCCTAACCAGCTGAGCCACATACTGGCCTGCCAGTTTTCCTAACATCAGCATACATGTGTAAATATTTGGCTAACAGCCATTCTTGTAGAATAACAGCATAAAACGTTTCTCTTTTATACTGTTTGTGGAATTTTGATGATTCATTTACATGATTTCCCCTAAAATGTGAGTTGGGTCCTAGATGCTGCTAAAATGCCTGGCACCCTGTGGGTATTATAAACACATTTGTGGGATTCAATGAACAGCTCTCTCTCTCTGTGTTTTCCTTAACTATCACCATGGTTAGTAATCTGAAAGTATTTACAAAATATCTTACCATTTGTATTTCCATTCTGTGTGTGTATTTGAGCCCTGGACTGTCCTGGGTGGTGAGAAATCCAGTTTTCTCCAAAATCTTCCATGCCTGTTTGTTTAGGTTTGAGGTGTGTGTGTGTGTGGAGAGGACTTCGGTTGAGTCTAAACCCACTTCAATCCAAGTTCTGCTCTGACCACTCCTTGAAACTCAATCCCCTCCTATTCGTTGTTAAATCCCTTGGGCAGAATCCACCCCCCCACGGAGATTTGATTTGATTTATTTATTTATTTATTTATTTATTTATTTATTTATTTATGGGTTTGAGAGGCAAGGAGGCAGAGACCTTGGCTAATCCACTCCCCAGTGCCTGCAGCAGAGGGTGGGAGGAAGGCCTAGCCAGGAATTGGGCCTGGGTCTCCTCTCTCATGGGAGTGGCAGGGACCCAACACAGTGTGTGCTTTAGTGAGAGTGTGGGGACAGGAATGGAGCTGGGGTGGTACCTCTGCTGAGAGCTATGGGCTTCCCAGCCCGGTCTCCCAACTGGAGGCCAAATACTCAGCTCCTTCAACACTTCCAAATGCTTGCTGACCCATGATAAGATTGTAAAACATGACTATTAAGTCTTTGTTCTTCTTCTCCTTTATTTTTAAAGATTTATTTATATTGGGGGCCTGGTGCAATAGATTACTGGCTTAAGTCCTCCAGTTGCATGTGCCAGAATCCCATATGAGTGCTAGTTCATATACCAGCTGCTCCACTTCCCTTCCAGCTCCCTGCTTGCAGCCTGGGAGAGCAGTCAAGGATGGTCCAAAGCCTTGGGACTCTGCACCTGCATGGGAGACTTGGAGGAAACTCCTGGCTCCTGGCTTCAGATCAACTCAGTTCCAGCTGTTGCAGTCACTTGGGGAGTGAACCAATGGGTAGAACATCTTTCTGTCTCTCCTTCTCTCTGTAAATCTGACTTTCCAGTAAAAACAACAACAACAAAAATCCTTTAAAAAAGAAAAACGGAGATGGCGAGCCCCAGGCCTGCAGCGGGAGCGTGGGGAGGGTGCCGATTGTGTTTCCAGGAGTCTGTGAGCACCCCTGCTGCTGCCATGAGCAGAGCTCACCCTCCTGAGTTGGAAAAAAAAAATTATGGACAAGAAGCTGTCATTAAAATTAAATGGTGGCAGACATGTCCAGGAAATACTGCGAGAATTTGATTGCTTCATGAATCTGGTGGAAATGACAAATAGTGGACAGCAGAACAACATTGGAATGGCAGTAAAACGAGGAAATAGTATCATCATGTTAGAAGCCTTGGAACAAGTATAATGAGTGTTTGGCAGAGAAATCCTTATCTCCTCTCCAAAAGGACCTGCTTTACTGTGGTGAGATATCAAAGTTGGGACATGTGCATTTTCGTGGCTTTTGATGTGTGTGTGTGTCTGTGTTCATGGGGTCACTTGCTCTGAGGTTGCCTCCTCTTCTCGTGGGGACAAAGGCAGGCTGTGCTCACACACGCACACCTAGGAGCGGCACGCCCTGGCTCTGGCAGCAGATGGGGAAGAATTCCATTGAGTGTCTCAGGCTCAGTGGTTAAATCCTTGCCTTGCAAGTACCAGGATTTCATATGGATGCTGGTTTGTATCCTGGCTGCTCCACTTTCCCATCCAGTCTCTGACTGCCTCCCCAGGCCACAAAAGGGAGCTGGATGGAAAATGGAACTGCGGGGATATGGACTGGTGCTCACATGGAATCCTGGTGCTTTCAAGACGAGGACTTACGCCACCAGGTCAATGCACTTGGTCTGAGTTCCCAGTTTGCTTGGACATATGTTTGAAAAAAAAAAAAAAGGAGTCAAAACTACTCTCAGATCGCTAGCCTGGATGACTCAGGGCCTGCAATGGTGTTGTTGCTGTTTATAGAATAGGGAAATTGAAAAGAGAAGCAGGTCTGAGCAGGAAATGTGTTTGTTTCTGTAGGGAGGAAGGCATTAAAGTTTAGTTGAGGTGGGCCCAGCGATGTGGTCTAGCGGCTAAAGTCCTCGTCTTGAACATGCCAGGATCCCATATGGACGCCGGTTCTAATCCCGGCAGCTCCACTTCCCATCCAGCTCCCTGCTTGTGGCCTGGGAAAGCAGTCGAGGATGGCCCAAAGCCTTGGGACCCTGTACCCGCGTGCAAGACCCTGAAGAAGTTGCTGGATCCTGGCTTCAGATTGGCATAGCATCGGCCGTTGTGCTCACTTGGGGAGTGAACTATCGGATGGAAGATCTTCCTCTCTGTCTCTCCTCTCTGTATATCCGCCTTTCCAATAAAAATAAAATAAATCTTTAAAAAAAAGTGAAGTTAAGAAACTTCAAAGGGCAGTTTTGCTGAAAGCTTCTCCTGCAGCAGCAGCTGCTAAGGTTCCAGCAAAGGTGAGGATTCCATGCACGAAGACCAGAAGGCGGCAGCTCCTGCCAAGGCTCAGAAAGGGCCAGAAAACTCCAGCCAGAGAGCGTCTGCTCCAAGGGCATCCGGCAAGACAGCGTGAGAGGCTGTTAGGAAAGTAATAAAGGTTCGATCTGACATGTTGGGGGGGAAAAAAAGCCTGAAGCAAGCTTGTTGGATTTACTGCAGGGAAGTCAGTGTACAGCAAGTACAGGCAGTGAGCCCTGCTGTCCCAACTCTAACACAGGGTACTGAGGCCTGGGAGACAGCGGTCAGTGCAGGAGCTGCCAGACACCAAGACCAAGCTGGCCATGTGCCCCTCAAGGTGCTGGCACGTCCTGCTTCCGACTTTGCTCTGCTCAGCGTCCTGACTCATGTCCTCTGTGACCTGACCACGACCCCACGTCACACTGCCTGTTGGGTGCGTGTCTGCAAATGGCGGCACGAAAAGCGACTAGGTTTCCCTTAAGTTCTCCAACAAAATGGATCTCAGTGTCTGGATTTAACAAGGATGTGGTCTGGTGATGGCGACACGTTGAATTTATGCTGCTCATTGTAGGGCCCAGTTATGATCAATATGTTGGATAAATTAGCTCTCATATGGGTGACCTTGAAGTCACCTGGGTGAAATTCCAGTGCTAATTATCAGTGAAATTCCAGATTTCGGTCTGAATAGGACCATCTCTCTAAAATGCAGAATTGTATTTTAAAAGTCACATGCTTTCTCTCACGCGCTGATCAACACAATACAGT